TTATAATTCATTATATAATTCTTTATAATTCTTTACAATTTTTTATAATTTCTTACAATTTCTTATAATCCTTTATAATTCGTGATAAAGAATTATTCGAATAATTCTTCTCTATAATTCTTCATAATTCGTAATAAAGAATTATTCGAATAATTCTTCTCTATAATTCTTCATAATTCGTAATAAAGAATTATTCGAATAATTCTTCTCTATAATTCTTCATAATCCGTAATAAAGAATTATTCGAATAATTCTTCTCTATATAATTCTTCATAATTCGTAATAAAGAATTATCTGAATTTGAATAATTCTTCCCTATAATTCTTTATAATTCGTGATAAAGAATTATTCGAATAATTCTTCTCTATAATTCTTCATAATTCGTAATAAAGAATTATTCGAATAATTCTTCTCTATAATTCTTCATAATTCGTAATAAAGAATTTAAAAGAGCCACAAGACTCGAATAATCGTATCTTCTCTTCCCAAATTTTCCATTTTTCTGCACAATCTGAGCGCGAATCTGAACGCACATCCGAATTGTGTTTGACGAGTATACTCGTAATCGAGAAGTGACAGTATATTTTGCGTCACGACGAGTATACTCGTCACGGAGAATTGACATTATTTTGCGTCACGACGAGTATACTCGTCATGAAAGAAGGGGCAATAGTATGCGTCACAACGAGTATACTCGTCATGGAAAAGTGACACTATTTTGCGTCACGACGAGTATACTCGTCATATGAAAAGTGACATTATTTTGTGTGACGAGTATGCTCGTCACGGAGAAGTGGCAATATTTTGTGTCTTCTCGATACGATATTTTAACAGCGACACTTATTCCGAGTTGCACTACGTGTTCGACGAATATACTCGTCGTCGCTTGGTTCTCTCGACGCACATAGGCGCGCGCTGTAAAAAATAGGCGCCACATTTAGCTGGTTAAACGAGCGGAAACCATTACGAATCCGCGGATTCGCGACGGGATCGTCGCCCGGCGTGGCGCTGCGAGTACGATTATTGAAATTATCCGAAGAAAACAATAGCTGGTAGAGGAACGGCGTGTGCTAGCATACCTATCGCGAGCGGCCGCGATAAGGGGATCCGGGACGAAAAAGTCAACGCAAAGATTCTTATCAGTTCGCACGTAACGGCCGGCAATAATCCAGTTTCCCTCGGGTGAGCGAACTCTCCTGTCGCTTACGCGAATTTTCGGCGGCGGGGGACTCGCGTCGCCAAAAAATCACGACGATTTCGCCGACACCTGTCCGAACGCGTTCGATGCTTTCAAGGTCGTGCCACCGGCGAACACAACGTCGGTGCTAATCAGCCGTTTCGCGGAACTCCATTCTTATTAAAATATTCTACACCGACGAGGAAAGTTCGATCGGTTCGTTCATATTTGCATGCTTCCGCGGGGATTCGAGGCACAAAGTTGCTTTATGCTCGCTCGCTCGTGTTTCGCTGATAAAAGGAAATACGACTATGATCGCTGTTACTACTAGAACGTGTGGATTTTACCGTATTCGGTCTGTCGGAACGATTAATTAATTATTCATTAAATCGACGATTCGAACGTTTGACGCGTCGGGCGTCTCGCGTTACTCGCCGTTTCGATTACAATGATTTTCGATTAGCTTTTCAAATCCATTTGTTATCGTGGTACGCTCGAACGGAATTTTTCTAGCACGTACGGAACAACTGTAATACTTTTTACTATGATAAATCGACAACAATTTTTGGCCAGCTTTTCAAATCCATTTTTATTGCGCCACGTTCGAACGAACCAAATTTTTCTAGCTGAGATACTTTTTACTATGATAAATCGACGACAATTTTTGACTAGCTTCTAAAATCCATTTTTATCGTGGTATTTTCGAACGAACAGAATTTTACTAGGACGCTCTTGGGACAGCTCAAATACTTTTTACTGTAACAAATTTTCTCTTTCCGGTTGCGGTGTCTTTAAAAAAGAAGAAGAGGTCGCTTCGATTTCGTGCGAATTTTTGGCCACGGATCGGGCTGCATTGCTCTCTCGTCGCACGAGTCTTTAATAAATCTGATTAAAATCTTATTGAAATCGGTCGCGTTCGTTTCCGCTTCACGAAGCAACGAACGTTTCACCGAGACGGGAGGAGATGCGGCTCGAAATTTTTATTGTTAGACTGTGCGACTCTCGCTGTCCCCGGTCCGTCAAAATAATTAAATACGAAGCTCGATTGTGAATTCACTCGTATCTGCATAATTCGTCATTCTTCCTAACGGGCGCCAACAATTGACCGCAGTTCGCATTCCTACAAACGGGCGATTGTTTAAACGAGATGGGAGGAACCTGTTGTCAACGCACTATTTCTAATCCGCTGATTCTATCCGATCTCCCTTCGGAGCCGCGCTCGCGACAATCGAATCCTGCATGTACGAAAGGCATCCAAATGGACCGGCCACGAAAACTATTAGATTGTGTAAGAAAATCCGATCGCGTTTTCTTGCGAGGAACGGACTTATTATACATGACATCCTTCTGAACTTTTCTTTCGAATCTTACAAACCCCACGATGCCAGCGGTCGACTCCTTTTAATTTTTTTAAGCGATCTAGTTATTCTATTGCAATCTAATTTAGCTTGTCTTACAGTGGCCACTTCCAGCTTTCATTCGAGCTAAATTACATAGAAACGGCTCTACGAAAACGTATCGTAAAATTCACGTGAACTTCTCTTTTAAATATTGTATGCCCACGATGTCAGAGGCCGATTCCTCTTAATTCTTCAAAACGATCTCGTCATTTTATTGCAATTTAATATAGCCTGCCTTAAAGCGGATACTTCCAGCTCTCATTTGAGCTAGATTGCATAGCAATAGCCCCGCGAGAACATATCTCAAAATATCTCGAAAGATATCTGAAAGCTCCACGATGTCAGAGATCGATTCCTTTGAATTTTTCAAAACGATCTCGTCATTCCATTACAATCTAATCTAGCCTGTCTTAAAGTGGACACTTGCAGCTTTCGTTTGCGCTGAGTCGCAAAGAAATAGGCGCACGAGAACGTATCGAAAAATTCATCCGAACAATCGCTGTAATCATCCTCGTCTTTTCGTAGGTGTTCGAGATCCGCGAACGGACTTGTTACAGACAGCCTAACAGTACATGCTGTGCCAAAAATCACCGAAACAACCCGGTTGGTCGAACGAGACACTAACCTCGTAGGCAAGGGCAGCACCCAGGATGAGGAGGAGTACGAGGCAGCCCTTGGGCAAGCCGGGGTCCCCCATGTCGACGTCCGGCGAAGAAGAGGATCGTTCTGGTGGCCGTGTTGGGTGCCTAGGGTGCTGGTCCTCTCGATCAGGATCACCAGCTCGACCGCATCACGGTCGACCACACGAGTAAACTAACGGAACCGGCTCTTCTGGGGGCACACTGTTCGACGGCTCGGTCCTCTTCGAGGAACTTGCGGGTGTCGTGGAGGTCGCACGAAGGGTCTCTCGATCACGGATGGGCACTGGGAGACGCGCGTCGCGACGGGGCCACCGTACAAGAGCGTACCGGCGTTCGGTAGCGTCTGAAAGGCCGAGCGCGCCGGCAAGATAAAACTTTTTCAAAAGCCCCGGTGCTTCCCCCTCTCCTCCGTTCTGTCTCGCTCTCCGGCGCCGCTCTCTCCCTTACGGTCTCGTCGCTCCGTCTCTCGCGCGCGCTCTGCCGAGACCCGCTTCCTCCTTCTCCGCCGCGCCGCCTCTCCCCCCCGCCATCGCCAGGAGAGCGCCGTTGCTCCCTCCCCCCTGCACCAGACCGAGATCCGTCTCTCTCGCTTCGTCAAGCTTCGTCCCGCTCCCTCGCTTAGGGCTCGCGGCTCTCTCCCCTCCACCGACGGCTCACTCTCTGCCCCCCTCCCCCTTTCTCCCTCCAAAGCCCGACGCAGTTGTTACTGTCTCCTTCGACGCGTCTTTCTCGATTTCATCGCGACCACTCTCCCTCTCTGTTCAAGACCTCTTCCTTTCTTTCTTGCTTTCTTTCTTCCTTTCTTTCTTTCTTTCTTTTTCTCTTTCTCTCTTTCTTTCTTTCCTTCTTTCTCTCTCTCTTGCTTTCTAACATTATTTCTGTCTTCCTTGCTTTCTTTCGTTCTTTCTCTCTCTTTTGTTTTCTTATTTTATTTCTGACTTCTTTGCTTTCTTGCTTCATTTCTGTTTTTCTTTGCTTTCTTGCTTTATTTATGTTTTTCTTGCTTTCTTGATATATTGTTATTTTGCTTTCTCTTGCTTTCTTGCTTTCTTGTTTTCTTGATGTATTGTTATTTTGCTTTCTTGATATATTGTTATTCTGCTTTCTTGTTTTCTTGCTTTCTTGCACTCCTGCTGTCTTGCTTTCTTGCTTTCTTGATATATTGCTTTCTTGTTCTCTTGCTGTCTTGCTTTCTTGCTTTCTTACTTTCTTGCTCTCTTACTCTCCTGCTCTCTTGCTTTGTTACTTTCCTCCCACTAAATTCTTCTTCTTGTTATTCTGTTTCTTCTTCTTATCCTTCTTCATCATCATCATCATCTTCTTCTTCTTCTTATCCTTCCTCATCTCCTTCTTATCCTTCTTCTTATGCTTCTTCTTTTTCTTCTTCTTATCCTTCGTCTTCGTCTTCTTCTTCTTCTTCTTCTTCTTCTTCTTCTTCTTCTTCTCCTGCTCAGCCGCAAATATTTCGCGACGATGACGAGTGCTTCTCGAAACCGGACCCTGTCCTCCCCGTTCGTCCCAGGATCCGGCGGGGTCAAAGTCGTCGGGACAACGAGCCTCCGACGAGGACCAAGATTCGCCATTCTCACCCTTCACGGTCGTTGGTCTTTTCTATAATCGGCCAGTGTCTGGGAGCCTTCGTTATTTCGAATACGATGTAATTGAAGTGTAATGGAATTGAAGTATAATGTAATTTAAATACAGTGTAGTAGAAATACAATGTAATTTAAATACAGTGTAATAAGAATACAATGTGATTTAAATACAGTGTAATAAGAATACAATGTAATTTAAATACAGTGTAATTGAAACACAATGTAATTGAAGCACAGTGTGATTGAAACACAATGTAATTGAAGCACAGTGTAATTGAAACACAATGTAATTGAAGCACAGTGTAATTGAAGCACAGCGTAATAAAATGTAATGACGATGTAAATACTGTGTAATACAATGTAATTAAAACACAGTTGTACAAATCAGAATTTTGAAGAAACGAGATACATTTTTATATCTCTTAATTAAATGATTTTTTCATTGAACCAAAAATTTAATCATAATTTGCAAATGAAATATTAACTTAATCTGTAATTTGTAATTTTCTGACTCGAACAACTAACTTCAATCATCCGGCATTTCACGGGCAATCGAGAGAATTACTATTTTTCGTCGTCCGGGCGATAATGCGTCGAGAAAAAAAATCTCCGCAATTTCAGAAATTTGCAAATAAAGGACGCGAGGCTGGTCGGTTTGACCGGCGACGGCACGTTTAGTGTAAAAGAAAGGCTATTTAAAAAAAACTGCCATAAGATAATGCGCCGTGACCGCTGGTGGACGAAGTGTTAACGCCTGCCGCAATCGTTGCTGGAACATTTCGAAGTTAGGAACGAGCAGTGTGAATACCCCGTGGATGAACCACGGTCTGCAAACGAGACGGTCTTCCCGTGCGGTTTTTGCAGCATTGCAACAACAGATTCTTCGCAGCGCGCGTTAACGACCGGGACACGTGCTCGCACAAGTGCGAAAATTTCTCCGCGGCGCGGCATTACAACGTGCTTGTAGAAATCGCCCGCGCGTCGCGTCGTCGCCGCGCCGGAGAAATTTACCTAATTCCGAGTCAGAAGTGACCTAATCTTCCAGCCTCCCAGTTCTCCCATTCGAAAGTCATCGCGTTATCGCGGGCCCGTGTGTCGCGAAAGTCGGGGACCCTCGAAAATCGGTGGAATGTTCGACGATTCGAGTCCCTCCGTTTCGGGATCCGATCGTTAGACTGCGGATTCTTATGCAAAATAGAAGATTGTCTGCGTCATTTGGAAAAAATGTAAACTATTAGGTCGATAAATAACAATAAAATAGTAAAATGATAAAATGATAGAATAATAGAAAAATAGAATAATAGGATAATAAAAAAATAGAATAATAAAACAATAGAATAATAGAATAATAGAAAAATAGAATAATAGAAAAATAGAATAATAAAACAATAGAATAATAGAAGAATAGAAAAATATAATAATAGAAGAATAGAAAAATAGAAAAATAGAAAAATAGAAAAATAGAAAAATAGAAAGATAGAAAGATAGAATGATAGAATGATAGAATGATAGAATGAT